GAAGCATACTATTTGCTATTTCTTTTCTCTTGTGTTGAGTTTTGTTTCCTCTTTCTTGTGGTTCCTCCTATTGGTTCTAATTTTTATTTACAACATCACTAATCTGAAAATATGTTTAATAAGAACGTATATATATATAGCCTATATCAGATTGTGCGCCGCCTTCAGGAGGGTGGTGGGGAGGAAGGGGGAGAAAAATTTTAAACTCAAAAGCATATGCAAGTGATTGTTGATAAATCAAAATAAATTATTCAAAAGCTAAAAAAAAATAGGAAAATTGAGTATGCAAGTTTAATTTCTGGGATCCATCTTCAGGTGCCTCTCACTCAGACCTGGATGCCACCGAGTGTAGGTCGGATGCCATGAAGGAGCCTCCCTATCCAGACTAGAAAAATGCCTTACTGACAGTAATCACTGGATAAATATTTGATGATTGGTTGATTAAATGAATGAATGAATATGAATTCAGAAACCTAGGGAGATAAAATCAAACAAATGGAAAGTCTAGGATAGATAAATTAGCTGACATTTTGCAAAAATAAAAATCTTAAGACAGAGAGACATATAAAAAGAATGCTCTGGGCCATGAGCAGTCTCCAGACAACGTTTTTTCTAGTGAAGCCCTGAGACAATTTGATGGCTCTGCTTTCTGTGTCTGAGGCAAGAAATTCAGGTAAAGGAACAAATTTTGAAGTTTCTGGTACAGAAATAATTCCCAATCATCCTTCCTGGAGAGATCAGGACTTGGATGAAGTGACAAAACATGGAGGAGATGGCATCTCTGGTAAAGGATTTGACTCAGAAGCTTAAGGAAAGAGTTTTTGTTTTCTGAGACCCCTGTGCTTCCCCAACAAGAAACCAATGCAGTAGAAATTGTTTCTATGCTCCTAACAATCAGGTCCCAACATCTGTACAGATACTATGTGAAGCTGGAGAACTTGATCTCTCGTCCCCAAACCTGAGGGTGATCTCCAAGTGGGAGCAAATGAAAGTACTGTGGGCACTGGATAAATAAATACCTGCCCAAGTTGAAAGACAACACCTTGAGACCATGGAGTCAATTCCCAAGTGGAGTATCTCTATGAAAGAATCACCTGAGGTAGAGGTTCCCAAAAAAATTACTCAACGCCCCCCTAGAAATCTACTTTCTTTAACCTTGTAACGGGTTTGTTTTTTTTTAATTTGCATCATTTCAAACTACTACTACTCCTCTGGACAGTTCCAGCACCCACCAGGGGGCAGTATTGCCCACTTTGGGAACCTATGACTAAGGCATATCATAAGGGATGGAAGATGGCAGAACTTCAGAAATGTGCTGATAGGTTTGAGAGGCTCTGGGGCAAAATGGAAAGATTTGAAGTTTAGCTCAGGTGCCATCCCATCTAGGATACCTTTCTTTATTCTCTCAGTGCAGCTAGTATTCTCTTCTTCCTCAAACTATCTTACATCATATAGTATCTGTGTATGTGTTATGTTGCACCAGTAGAATGTAAGCTCCCTGAGGCCAGGAGCTATCTTGATTTTTATCTTTGTATTCCCAGCCTCTACCATGGTACCTTACACATAGTAAGTCTTTAATATACTTTTGTTTAACTGAATTGAGGACAATAAACAAGGAAATTAAGCAACTTCCTTATAGTCACAGAACTAATAAATGTCCAAGGTAGGATTGAACCCAGATCTGTTCCAACAAGTCTGGTACTCCTTTCACTTACACTATCTCTTCTGCCTCTTTTTGTATCCCCAACATTTAGAATAGTGCCTGACATACAGTAGGTACTTAATAATGCTTATTGATTGAATGATAAATACTAAATAACCACTTGAGTTTGAGCACATCTTTGAAGTTCCCTGATCTTTAGTGCCTCATCTGCAAAATGGGGGAAATGATACTTGAAATTATCTACCCCTTGTAGATCGTCAGAAAAGCACTTAGTAAACCTTAAAATCCTATAGAAATGTGAGTTGTTATTGTCTCCAGGACTCCTTCCTGCTCTGATTATTCTATGAATCTATAAAACATTGTTGGTATTCTTTATCAGTGTAGTGTAATACTTTAGTGTCTCTCAAAAAAAAACGCCCTTGATGTGTCACAATGTCCTGTGTTTCCTCACTTCCTTTTGCCAATTTCTAACCATGATGGGGGAGGTAGTAGCATTAATGTGGCAGACCTAAGAGGAAAGATGCAACTGTATGGATGCATATGTGCACAGATGTGTCTGTGTGTCATGTACTGGGAATGTGACATAGTTACACAGACGGTTGGACTGGTGCATAGCTGGATGCAAAGCAACATAAAGCACTCACTCCTGCTGAATTTCGTGTCCTAGGTTGGATAAAGTGGAGAAACAACTGCCCTGGTGCCCCTCTTCTCTGATGTGCTAATGTTCCTTGACCCTCTTTGCCCCTGAGAAAGATGCTAAGAAGCAGCCTAGGAGCAAGGGCCAGAAGAGAAAAGGAAAAGAAAAGGGAGATGAGCAAACCCTGAATGATACAAGGTTAACCATACTCAGGATTTCTGTATGGTCTTTAGATACTAGCTGAACTCAGGGTTTGTTTGTTTGGTTGGTTTTTTTTAATGTTATATGCAAGGCAAGGAGGTGCATGCACAGTAGATAGAGCACTGGTCTTGGACTCAAGGAGACCTGAGGTTAAATCCTTCCTTAGACACTTAGTAGCTGTATGATACTGGGCAAGTCAATTAACCCCTCTGGGCCTCAATTTCCTTGTCTGTAAAATGAAGCAGTTAGACTAGATGACTTCTAATGTTCCTTCTAACTCTAAATCTATGAAGAAGGATTAGATTTGTTCTTGTCTTCAGAGGTTGGAACTAGGAGCTGTACAGAGGCAAATTTCAGCCTGTTAGGCCTCCTCAGGAGATAGTGGCTTTCCCTTCCCTTGTGATCTTCAAGTAAATGCAACATGGCCATTTGTTGGATGTAAGGACATAGGAAGAGATTATTGTCAAGATGCTAGTCAGGTTGGCTCACCTCTGGGGCGCCTTCCAACTCTGACATTTTGTGATTGAGCCATGGCTCACCTTATACTTGAACAATGGTGGACTGAACTGGCCCTTATCCAGTGAGTCATGGCAAGGCCATAAAGAGAATATGGGTCTCCTCTACATTCTAGACAATGAGATTTCAAATGTTATATGTAAATGTGTAAATAAAGTAGAAAAGCACAAGACTAGGAATGAGGGTGCTTGGCTCTATGAATAATTAGTTGCATGATGAAGCAAGTCACTCTTTACTCTAGACCTGTTTCTTTATGTGTAAAATGAGGGGATTGGATGGTAGTTAGGTCTCTTGCAGCCTTAATATTTGATGATTTTATACTTCGAGAAGCAGATAGGTGGCAAAGTAGATAAGGCACTGGGCCTAGAGTTAGGAAGATTCATTTTCCTGAGTTCAAATCTAGCTTCAAACACATACTAGCTGTGTAACCTTGGCCAAGTCCTCAGTTTCCTCATTTGTAAAATGAGTCAGAGAAGCAAATGGCAAACCATTCCAGTATCTTTGCTAAGAATACCTCAAATGGGGTCATGAAGAGTCAGAAACAACTGAACAAAAATAGTTTTATGGTTCTACGGAAAAAATGTAGTTCTAGAGACAGTGAAACAGAGCCAAGACAGAAAGCCTCCTTCTCAACCAGGTTTCTCCCAACAACCTTCCAAAATAACAAAACAGACATTCAAGCAGAGGTCTACTATTCTACCCAGTGGGTAAAGTGGAACAAATTGTCAAGGTAGAGTTTCCATGAGGTGGCAGGTAGATGCAGCTCCCTACTAGTATCCCTACTAGTATCACCCTAAAAAGGCAGTTTACCTATACTGAGCATATTTTCCAAACCAAAAATCAGATTCCATGGACCAACAAAAGATATTCCTTTTACAAGACCTCAGTGAAAGCACATCTTCTTTTCCTGAAATCTGAGCTGTTCCAGAAAAAAAACAGGATGTAACTCTAAGGTTATCCCTACAGGATGCTGGGGAAATACCCTGTTACCTTCTGGGAGGTATTTTTATGTATACCATGAGAGGTTAATATATTTGAAGTCCCATTCTTTCTAAAGGACTGAACTAGCTCCACTTTACTATCATTTTAGGGGTCCAAGATTTCCCCCCAACTTGCCTTTCTTACATGGCTGAAAAATCACAAGGCCAGACCACAGTATATACACATACTGGGGGCCTACAGAGGAAGTGGAAAGCCAGTAACTATTGGTTTCCTCTCTTACTCTGTTCTAGGAGACACCGTGATGGTTTTCTTCCATCCTTTCTTTTATTCTTTTTTTCCTCTCTCTTTTGTTTTAGCCATCCTGCCTGTAGATAACATGAGTAAACAGTTCAACTCAATAAGCATTTATTAAGCTTCTACCATGCACAAAGGCTGACTGATAGAAAGCAAAGAAAACACATACACACAAAAGAAACGGCTCCAGTCACTGAAGATTTTACTGACATTAGGAACCTTCAAGGAAAACCTCTGCCCTGGTTTTTATTAGAGTCTTAGGTCTTTCCGGGCATATGGCTGTATCTTACCTAAACTTCCACAGTGGCTGGCACAACACTATGCAATGCAATGCACCTAGTCAGTGTTTGTTTCATTTCCCCAAACTTTGGGTTTGACTGAGTTAATACCAATTACAACATTATTACATATTCTCTTTTCGCAGAGGCAACCTCCCAAGATTAAGAGATCAGAAGGGACTCAACTGAGCAAGGTCATAAACCAAGTCAGGCCTAGGGAACTCTGGGATCCTAACCCCAGGGCTATCTGGCCAGGCCACATACCAAAAAGCCACGACAGCCAGTCTCTCTTCTTCTCCCTCCTTCTCTTTTTCTTTCCCTCCCTCTCTCTCGGTCATAAGAAGTGGCCCTCCTCCACCCCACTTTGGAAAGTCAGAGCCGCAGGAAGCAGATGGCCAAGTTGCAGGCCATGATGCCGCCTCTCCGTAGGCTGCACAGTTGCTCGGGGGCAAATTCCGGTAGTCCTTACCTTACCCCGCCACTCCGTGCTCCTCCTCTGGGCTTCTCTGACAGCTGTTCAGCCGCGCACGTTTATTCTCGTCTCGTACTTGGTCCCAGTCCTCCTCCGCTCCCTAGGAGCTGCCCAACCACTGCCAAGTAGGAAGCGGGACAGGATAAAGCAGTTCGGATTACCTGGCTTGGGATAAATTGTTTGCACTTGTGTGTGCTAGCCCCCGGGGCTCTCTCTTGGCTTTGCGGGAGCCTCCAAAAGCCGCAGGACGGGGATCCAAAGTTTAAAGAGAACCAGATAGCAAGACATTAGAAGCTTGGGGAAGGGGTGGGGGATAGGAAGGGGGTAGCTCCGGCCTCGGGGAGGCGGGGCTGACGCTGCCCTAGCCTACCTCGCAGGTTTTGTCTCCCTGGCTTTTGGGTTCTCAGGTTCCCCCCACCCCACACACACACACTTGTCGCCCTGTGCTAAAGTGAACAAGGAAGGGGAAGCCTGTGTCTGCGAGCACTTGTCGGGGCGGTTCTTGAATGGGACGTTAGTTGCCCCGTGTTGGGGGCAGATACAGCCTCAAGCATAGGCGTTATAGTGCTTACTCCAAAGCACTTTTTTTTTGTTCTGAATCAGACGTTATTTCATAGGTGCATAGGAACTTTCTGGGCCAATGGAGATCAGTAATCTCTCCGCAGTATACCTTTAGAGGGGTGCTCGTGAACACTTGTTGCCCAGTTGATCAAAAGTGCCCTTAAAGAAAAAGAGAGCATGCTAATAGGAAGGGGGAGGGAAGCGAAGCATTTATTAAGCACCTACTATGTTCCAGGCGTTCTGCTGAGGGCATTTCAAACATCTCATTTGGGCCTCACAACAACAACCCCGAGAGTAGGTGCTATTATTATCCCCATTTTTAAGTTGAGGAAACTGAGGCAGACAGAGGCTAAGTGACTTGCCCAGGGTTGCACAATTAGTATGTATCTGAGGTCAAATTGGAACCCAGGTCTTCCTGACGCTAGCTGGTGTATAGTGAAAAGAGGCTTAGAACAGGGTTCTAGTAAAGTTTGGGCTCCATGTAAGGAAAGATAGTCTGAATATGGAATGAGTTTCCTCAGTTTCAGCTCTGGAAGCTGCTCAAGTACTTGTCTGTGATATTTAAGGACAGGTTCCTGTTAAGGTAAGGGTGGGATTATATGACCTCTAGTCATAGGGAGGCAGCGTGTTAGATCATGTTAGAGTGGAAATTACACTTGCTCTTGGACCTGAGTTCTAATCTCATTTCTGACATAACTGTTATGACCCCTAGCAAATCATGTATCGTCACTCTTTCCTCCTCTGTAAAATGAGGTGGGCTGGAACAGATGACTTTTGAGGCTCCTCCACCCACCAAAGTGCCTTCCACCTTGAAGATTCTGTGAGTCTGTAGCCCCCTTTTTGCTATAACCAACTTGTGTGACTTTGAGTAAATCACGTTCTTTGGATCAAAACTTCCTTATCTGTGAGATGAAGGTGCTGAACTAGAACACTCCTAGGCTTTTCCAGCTCCACTACCTCTGAGTCTATGATGTCCTTAGAGCCAGGGACTTGTATAGACACCAATGTATAGCTAACGGTGGGGATAGGAGAGCAGGAAACATTGTGCTGCTTACATAGAACATAAGAGAAAATGACCTCTTTTACTCCCCCTCCTTCAACTACCACCAGGGCAACACACACCTGTATTCCTTTCTAACCAAACCAAGTCCTCCCTCAAAAGTAATTTTCTCCAAGGAGCCATCAGCGGCATGTTGTTAAATGTTTAACAACCAGCTGTCTCAAAACAAAGAAGAAATGTACCCAAAAACACTTTTAAGTTTAATCTGTATTATTAACATTTTCTTCATGACTTTCAGCAACAGCAACAAAAAAAATCAAACTTTGATTAGTAGTTTTGGCAAATTCTAAGTGTAAGTGGTCACACTAAAAATTAAATGGGGAGCTGGCTCCAGCATCCTCCTACAGCTGTGGGAAATTGATGCACTTCAGCACCTGTGCATCATGAGAAATTGTACAGTTGCCATAAATTGCCATAAAAATAATCTTCTCAACTATGTTTAGGCATTTAGTCTTCCCCTTCAGAATTTGCAGTTCTCCAGGGATTGGGTCTTCTGCCTCCAGTTGCCTCATGCACCTAAACCCAGGGCACTGGGCATACTCATCCCATGTTGTTGACTGAGTACTATGGATCTTTACCCTTCTCAACCTACTCTCCCATTTGAGTGATGAGAGGGAGTAAAATGGTGTTTCTGAAGTTACTATTGTTGTCTTGGGACAAAGGAAAGGAGAACCAGAGAGAATGGCAATGACAACTGGAAGAGAAAAAGGGCACTTTAGAGACTTTGCTCTTACCTTTGTTGAAAGAAAAATAGTGTACTCTTGAGTTTGATACATAAGACCGTCAGAAACAATTTTATTAATTGAGCTTAATCTAAGCATGTTTCTGCTTAGAAAAAAAGTAAAATTGGCAGTCACCTCATGTTCTTGGAAATCTTCTACCAAGCCATTTTGAAGTTACAATTTTGAAGTATTCCTGAACAATTTCACAGTCAAGATTGAGCAAGGGTTCAAAACTTGGGTAACAATTAAGTTGACAGTTTGCTTCATCAAACAGGGTAATATTCACTTAATTTTGTAAGTCATTTTCCTGAAACCATTCAAGTCCTCTTTGAACACTCCTCTAAGGCAGGGAGTCTTAACCTAGAACTCTTAAGGGGTCTGTGGATAGATTTCTGGACTTTCTTTAACTTGGTTGGGGAAAAAAATGTATCTTTACTTTTACTAACCTTTAGCTGAAAGTTAGCATTTCCTTCTACTATGAAAGTGAACAATAAACAATGAATCTTTGCCAAAGGGACGAAAGAGGTTAAGAACCCCTGTTCTATGGATTCTTCTTTCCAATTAGTCAAAGACGAATTCAAGAGATACATTCATTAACTGAAATCATCAAAGATTTCGTCTTTCTCCAGGTCTGATCATTACTCTAATTAGGTCAAAGCATGGGAAAAGATATGAACCTATTGCTCCTAGTTTCATCAGTCAGGGGTCCCATGCCTTTGTCTGCTCACCAATCTAATTCAGAGAGCAGTCTTCCCCCCACCCCTGAACTTTCATCCAGGACACCTCAAAGAAACTAATTAGGCCTTTGGTAAGAGAGAAAATGGATATAGTGCAGGGCATTATTGCAGAATTGATAGTTAAAACTGATAAAAGTTCCTCATGCAGGTTAAACCAAAACATTTAGACTAAGCAAAAGTCACCAAATTCAATCTGATTCCCTGTGATTGTAGAGCCAGGAGCTAAGAAAAATGGTTGTTACATTTTAAAATAAAGTTTTATTATATTAAAAAACATAAAAAACCATTTCCAGTTCTCCAGCCTTCAGCAGACAAGATTTGGCCTCTAGCCATAGTGTGCCAATACCTGAACTATTGTCCTACTGTTATTTTGTAATGCATATCCTTAAAAGAGAAGGTTGGGGAGAGGAAGGGGATACTTAGTATGCTTCTACATATTGCACTGAGGAGATGATACTAGTAGATTTGAGATGTCTAGAGATGTGCCCTTTCATTGCTTGGGAGCCATAAGGAATAACAAAAGGTTGCATGAAGAGAGGCAAGAGAACTTGTCACATGTATGCTTATACCTCACCTCCATGCCAGCTTTCAATTGGCAAGGTGCCAATATAGAACTGGTGATTTAGAAACCCCAGATTTAAGACTATGATTGCTAGGATTTGTATATATTTTAAGAACTAATGGTAGTCCATTCAAGGGTCTCTTATTTATAGCTCCATTTTTAATAAAACTTTCTTCTGTAATATTGTGCTTCTCCCCCACAGCATAACAAGGTCCTTTATTTCTGAAAAACAAAAAGGTCACATATAAATATTGGAAAGTGAAGCTCAGAGAAGTTGTCTAGCCTGGCTGCTGGTAAGAGACAGACCTAAATTGGGGCCTATAATTCCTATGTCCTCCGGCTCTCCTCCAGTCAAATATTTAAATGATTCAGGCAGTCCCTAAGCATGTAACCTTCTTTGCTTTTAGCATAACCATTTCAACAAGAGGAGAGCATTGTCCAATATTGATGCCTGCTGCTCAGACAACTGTTATTGGGGCTCCTCTTGACCCAAGCCTAGTCTACCTGCAGGGTTCTTCTCTGCACTTCTGGCTAACCTCAGACAAAATTGTGAAGCGGATGGTCTGATGAATGAAGCAGGCTGGACTCCTGAAGTTTCCTACCATTATAGGGCCCTCCTTTGGGGGAGAAGTTGCATCTCAATGAGGCTCCTTCAAACTACAAATTGAACCATGCCAAAATGTTAGTAGGAAGTATCCACTAGTACAGTGGTATGGACAAGTTTATCAGATTAGACAGCTGTCACTTCAGAAAGGAAAGAGCAGGGTCTCGAGAAGATGGGAGGATGGTACACAAATAAGGTAAGTTTTGATGGAAGGTAAGTGAAAAATTACTGGATTTGGAGTCAGATGATGTGGATTTGAATCCTGCCTTTTCCAATTACTACCTATGTGACCTGGGGCAAGTTCATTTAACCTTTCTGGGCTTTAGTTTCCCCATCTCTAAAATAAAGGGGTTGGGCTAGATGTCCTTGAAGATTCCTTTCATCTATGGTTCTTTCCACCTATGAGTCCTTCCACCTATATCAATCTATGATCTTATGATTCCATGAAAGGTCTGGAGCCAGGAGTTCTGCCTAGGGAGAGCAGACCTTTATGAAGCACAATAGTGGGGGGTCCAGGGCAATGAGGGGGCAAGGTGAGATCACTTAGGTGAGATGTCTAGGCATAATATGTATAGAGAGGCACCCAATTAAGGGAGGAGAGCAGTGGAAATGAACTTTGATATACTGTCCTAATACTTACCTTGAAGAAAACTCAACCTTATAATCTAGGTACGTATTGAATGATTCTTCTTCTTCTTCTTCTTTTCTCTCTCTCTCTCTCTCTCTCTCTCTCTCTGTCTCTCTTTGCCTCTCTGTTTTTATCTCTGTCTCTGCTTCTCTCTCGCTCTGTCTATCCATCCTTCCCTTTCTGTCTTTCTCTCTCATTGTCTCTGTCTCCCTGTTTCTCTATCTTTCTATTTCTCTCTGTCCTGGTCTTTTCCTCACTATCTCGTCTGTCTGTCTGTCTGTCTGTCTGTCTGTCTCTCTCTCTCTCACACACACACACACACACACAGACTCTCCTCCCTCTCCTGCATCTTCCCCTCTCCAAAGTCCTTCATAGACCCACAGCATACTTTATTGTTGTTGTTATTTAGTCATTCAGTTGTGTCTGACTTGTTGTAACCCTATGGATCATAGTTGTCCATGGGCTTTTCTTGGCAAAGATACTGGAGTGGTTTGCCATTTCCTTCTCCAGTGGCTTAAGGCAAAGAGAAATTAAGTGAATTGCCCAGGATTAAGTGAA